CAGGCAAGCCGTGATACGTGCAATGCACTGTGACTTGGAAATATGTCTCTGAGATGCAATTTTTCTCTCTTCCCTTCTTGTGCCAAGGGGGTAACTTGCTACTGGCCTGGACAATGAGCAAATTATGGTAGTGCTCTCAGCAGTGTCCCAGGTACAGCTGGTCAGCGAGTAGGGCGATGAAACATTTCCACCCATCAACCCGTTCCAGAGGACCGTCAGGAGGTGATAAAAGCTCTCTTCCATTCAATGTGACTGGGCTGAGCTGGAATAAAACCCTAATTGTTGATATTCTCAGCAAATTGAAAATCCAAAAAACGTGGTTGCAGGTTGATCCAAATGTTTTGTTTCAGTGAAATCGGGATGTTGCATTTTGATCCTCAGCTTTGTTATGTGTTTGAAATTTTTAACACGATTAAGGGAACTACGGAAAGATCGTTGTTTCAAACCAGAGCATGTTTCATTGGGTGGTGGGGGGAAAAAAGTCTGCACTTGCTGCTCTGAATTTTTTGAAATGCCTCCTAAATGAAACTGTTTGTAACGTTGATGCACATTGGCAACGTGTCTCAGTATTGCCGAATGTGCATGTTTTCTTAGAGGAACATTTTTCTAGCCCTACAAGTTGTCTAAAATCACAACATAGTACCAAACAGACACACCGTCTCCTGCTGTTTGTGAATAGTCTGTGTGTTAATCAGATTGAGATTATCTCAGTCTTGGTTGTTTCAAAATACTTTCTGTGAATGGTCAGACATTTACTATGAGTCCTAAACATGTGTCAGTTGTTTCCCATCCCATATGCTGGGCGATAGCATCAGTGGCCTTTGCCTTAAAACTAACCTCACTCTTTATTGGGAGGACTGTTTACAGAGGTGCTGCAATATGTGACTGGCCTTCTAGCCATGTATATGGCCTTCCATGCCATTTTTCTCCATTTTACTTAAGTTTGGTTCAGATATCTAATGTTAACGTAAAGTTTCTGGTCATAACCATAGAATAAGAGAATCCTAGAAAATTTGGGCTGGAAGTGACCTCAGGAGGTCACATCTAGTCCAATCCCTGCTCAAAGCAGGACCAGCCCCAATGACATCATCCCCGCCAAGGCTTTGTCTAGCTGGACCTTAAAAATCACCAAGGATGGAGATCCTCTCTGGGTAACCTCTTCCAGAGCTTCATCCCCCTCCTAGTGAAAAGGTTTCTCCTAATATCCAACCCAACCTCCCTTGCTGCAGCTTGAGCCCATTGCTCCTTGTCCTGCCATCTGCCCCCACTGAGACCAGTCCAGCTCCATCCTCTTTGCAGCCCCCCTGCAGGGAGGTGAAGGCTGCTATTCAATCCCTCTTGGCCTTCTCTTCTGCAGTCTAAATAAGCCCACTTCCCTCAGCCTCTCCTCACCAGTCACGTCCTCCAGCCTCCAACCATTTTTGTTGTCCATCACTGGACTCCCTCCAACTTGTCCACATTGTATAGCGGGGACCCAAAACTGGACACAAGACTCCAGATGTGATCTCACCAGTTCATGAAGAGCGAATGAAACTGAAAGCTGAAGTCCATTCCATTGCATAAATGAATATTTGCAGCCACATTGCTACCTTCTTTGTGTAATCCCATAAATCTGTGCCTTACATTGAGAGAAAAAGAATTCTGATCTTCCTAACTAAATTACCCCCCCCCCCACACACACATCCATACGCACCCTGTTACAGTAGGAGCCTGAGATATATTGCAGTAACATTATTGAAAACTCTGCTGTTTTGTACCGTAACTGTAGATTCTCAAATCCTTGTAAATCCTCATTTCATTTCCAGAAGGGCCAGTTGTGAATATACACTGCATTCGCTTGCTCTGACCTCTATTGCTCTGGAAAGAGCTGCAGCATTACCAGGTAAAAATCATCCTGTGTCTGCTCCAGTGACAGACTGATTGCTCGTCAAACTGAACAGCACGCTGTGCAATCTGAGGTTTTCCAGCGGTGTGAATGTGCATCTCTATTGCCAGGCTTGTGCACAGGGGCCTGAAAGGGAGCATTTAAATATCCTGGTAAAGTGCTTATTTGATTCAGATGTTTAGGCCACTTGAGGGCGTGGAACAGATTCTGGTTTTACTCACGTTGGTGTAAATCAGCAAGGACCTCTGCTGATGTCAGTGGAGCTGCTTGAACCAGAGCTGATAGGAGGTCGGGTAAAATCAAGTCCATGGGAACCTCATTCCCATCATACATAAGATGTGGCTCTCAAGGTGCAGCTGTATATGGGACATGCCCATAGCCATTGAGGGCATGGCAGAGCTGCAGGTGCAGCAGATGGTGATGGCATTTATTAATGCTCCCCAGGATCCGTTGCTGGCTTTGAGATCAGGTGTTAAAAAAGTAATTCCTCCCGGGTTTAGTTGCACTACAGGAGAGCATTGAAGGCTTCATGGCTATGCTGGATTAAGGCTGTTGTACGGCCCCTAATACTGAGTTCAGTTTGGTAACGAGGAGCTCACTGGGGTGAAAGGTGTCCTGGTTTTGAGGGCTACAGGAAGGCATTTCCAGTTATTTTTGGTACAGGATTAAGAGGCACTCAGGTCAAATACTTATAGGTTGAAGTTTCCAGAGCCCTCATCCCACAAGCCCTTGTTCCTCTCTACTTGTATAGTATTTGGAGATGATGGTCCTCACACCAGGAAGAAAGCCTGACTCTAGGATCCAGATTTGTGTGCACAGATCCCTTTTCCCTGGGGAAACGTGGTGGAGATCCCTTCATAGAGAGCCTGGGAAGCAATGCTGTGGGTGATGGAGTGGACCAAAACCACTGGGATTGTGCTGCATGATATGCTGACGGGGGTCAGACTAGAGAGTATTCATTTATTAAATAGAAGTCATGGATGGGAAATGAGGTGCAATGGGTAGGGCATTGGACTGGGAGAGAATTAGGTTTTCTGCTAGCCTCTGCCATTGGCCTGCCACTGCAGCTCCAGGCAAGTCTCACTGGGCTTCTGCAGGTGTGCAGGGAGCCTACTCTGATGCCCTGGAAATCCAGCGAGTTGGAGCAGACTTGATTAATCAAGATTAATTGCTACCGGAGCATGGATATTACCACACTTCGGGCACCTTTTGCATCATGCATTCACGTCCCTGTGCTGAAAAAGTGGCAGTGGGACGCTTTGAACCAAAACGCATTCGATGAGCTTTAAGTTCAAAGTGCCCTGCTGCCATTTTTCAGAGTGGGGGCACTCATACTCATGATGTGCAGGCGCTTTTAATTAGGGTGGCTTACTAATTAAAGTGCCCTACGCTACATCCTGGACCACGTGTAAAAATGCTCATTGCCACTATTTTACTTCCCACCCGTTTCCTTTTCTGTGTAGACTGCTAAGTCTTTAGAGACTTGTGCAGAAAAGGACCTGGGGGTTAAAGTCGACAATAAGCTGAATATGAGCCAGCAGTGTGCCCTTCTTGCCAAGAAGACTATAGCATAGCAGGCTGCATTGGTAGGAGCGTTGCCAGCAAGTCAAGGACAGTAATTCTTCCCCTCTTCAATACCGGTGAGGCCACATCTGGAGTCCTGTGTCCAGTTTTGGGCCCCCCACTACAGAAAGGATGTGGACACGTTGGAGAGAGTCCAGTGGAGTGCAGCAAAAATAGTTGGGGGCTGAGGGGCATGACTTGGGAGGAGAGGCTGAGGGAAGTGGGCTGATTGAGTCTGCAGAAGAGAAGACTGAGGGGGATTGAATAGCAGCCTTCACCTCCCTGCAGGGAGCTGCAGAGAGGATGGAGCTGGGCTGGTCTCAGTGGGAGCAGATACAGGACAAGGAGCAATGGGCTCCAGCTGCAGCAAGGGAAGTAGTGTTGGATATTAGGAAAAACCTTCTCACTAGGAGCTTGGTGGAGCACTGGAAGAGGTCACCCAGAGAGGTGGTGGACGCTCCATCCTTGGAGGTTTTGAAGACCCGGCTAGACAAAGCCTTGTCTGGGATGATGTAGTTGGGGCTGGTCCTGCTTGGAGCAGGGGTTGGACTAGATGTGACCTCCTAAGATCCCTTCCAGCCCTCGTTTTCTATGAGTCTATAAAAGGTTGCATTTCTCATTGTTTTGTTTGTTTTTTTACAACCATAGGGCCCTGGTCTCAGTTAAGTCCTGTAATACAAATAATTATCAGTGATCCAGCAACCTTTTCCCTTTCAGGGTCTCACCTTGCCCTTTGCTGTGGTACATGAACCCCTTCCCGTGGTGCAATAACACACCTGGGCTGACTTCTGAGTATTGATTTCACAGCCCGATTAAATAGTTTTCCCCAGATGGCTCTGGTACAACTTCCTCCTTGGCCTAATCCCGAGCCTCCAAAATTTCTCTTCGCTTGACAGCTCTCGTAGTTCTTATTAACGTGTTTACTTATAGTCAAAGCCAGATGATTGTTGACTGGGCTTGTGGTAACTGTATATAATTAAAGCCTTCATTAAAAAGAACTGATCGTTAAATGAAATGGTTGTTGAGAATGCCGGTGCTAAACAGCCAAGCAGATCATTAAGCAAAGATTTACATGGATGTCGGAAATAGCAAACGCGGAGATGGATGGTGCCCGACTCCCCTGCCGGAGTTGCTGTGCGGAGCAACATGGCACAGGACGCGCGCCCTTGCTGGGATGTCACTCGGTGGTGATAAATACAAGCGCGGAGATCCCAGCTTGGTGTACGCACCCTGAAGCGTCTCCGTCATAAAATGACCTCATGGAAATGTGATTGGGAATCACTTAGTGGGAAGTGGCATGCTAAGGTAGCCCCCTGCCAAGAAAGAAAAACTTCTGTTTTAAAAGAAATGACAAAGTTTATTTGCCACTCAAAAGCAAGTCTGTTGGTTCAGGATTTTTGTCCTCTGCAAACCACTTCCCCTTCTCCCATCCTTTCCCTTCTTCCAACAGCGCTGCCGCAGCTAATGCATCTAGCTGTAAGCAAATATTTCTTTAATTTTTTTTTTCCTATTACATGGCATGGGAACTGCTGAGTCTGAAGTTTTCGAGCATTTCCTGATTCAGTGAGTTTTTTAAATCACTTACTGCACTTGAGACCAGCCTCTGATTGAAACGTCTGCTGGAGTCGGAGCGGCCACTTCTGGGAAGCGAGGGCGCAAGCAAAGGTCAGTTTGAAAGAGAATGGGTGATGTCCAACTGCTTGGGAATAATTGAAGACGTGACCCACATGCACTTCTTCTCCTATCTCATTACATCATGCACCTCCCGTTTCTTTGGTCACAGCTCTTGAAATATGAATGTATTGGGGTAGCCATGCAAATGAGCTGGGACCCTATTCTATTTACTATTTATTATATGAGTTATGGCAGTGTCCAGAAATGCCTCCCAGGATTAGGATTTCTGCATTGATGATAGTCTTGCTCTCATGCCTGCAAGACCTTACACTCTGAAGACAAAAGATAGTGGTGGCAAGAAAACATGTATCTCTAGTTCACATGTGCACAACTGGTGATATGTCCCGGGCTCACAGTGCTGGGGGTTCAACCCATATCTCCTAACATTGCAGCAGTCATTCTTTCCATCTGTCTGGAGCCATTTAAAGAAAGAAAAAAATCACTGTCCTGTAGGCATAGGGTAGAAGCCTTTTAAATAGGTGTTTTCTTCTGGAGGTATTCGCCTGGGTCTATATTTTAGAAACCCCCCGCAGTCGATCAAAGCAACAGCATATGCATGGCTAGGCCTTGCTTATATGTGCATATTGAGGAGGAATGATTAATATGACAATCCGTTCAACAGAGGAAAGCAGGATTTGTTTTTAACGTCAGAATTGCCTCGGGGAGAAAAAAATCATCCTTTGTAAACCCAGACCCTGCGATACTTTCTGATCATCACCAACTGCCAGCACTTTTCTTTGGACCCTCAGTAAATCCTGCCCTTGAATGTCTTTGCAGAGAGCTGGTGGCAGCTGGGACTAGATCATCTGTGCTGCCTGGACAAAGACCATGGGACATTTCAGTTGTTTATCAGGGATTTGGATTAGAAGAGACCAGGTAAACCCAGAGAGGCTCGAGGCTTTCTCCAGCAATATTATCTTAATTGTCTACTGTGTTCTTTTAGCAAAGGACGATGGCCATTCTGGTTCCCATTTAGTGAAAGAGGCTAAAGGACAAGCCCCTATTTATCACTTAGCAGCAGCTGTGAAAGCACATCTACCTTTCCTCCAGCTCAAGTCCTCCTGCAGCCCTGCCTGGGATCACCGAAGCCTGGGATGAAGTGGTCGTCACACCCCTGTGCCATTGAGGTGACAGAGTGAAATTGCTGGGAAGAGCACGTTAGACAATGATGCAAACGGAGGTGTCATTTTCTCTCTGCTCACATGTTGTAGCTCAAGGTGTTGCAGGAACGTGCAAAAACCATCATCATCAGAGTCATCCAATGCATTTCCTCCTGCTGCAGTGATAAGGCATTGGTGGTAGCTTTTCCTCTCTTGCTATTTCCTGGTGGCATGTTATAGGGTTGTTTTGTTGGGTGTGTTGGGACTATGACATGTGAGGGATACCAGAGTTGGGATTTGGATGTGCGCACATGGGTACACAGACATAAGAAAGAGGCAATAGGTGACACTCAAGGAAATACAGCATAGTTCTGCTAGATTTCATAGGGCAGTAAAATATGCAACACATTGCAAATGGTTTATTGCATGCACCTTTGGCTCTTAACAGAAGGAGGAGGAAAAAGAGGAGAAGCCTCATGGTCCCTTGAGTGAGTTGGGAAGGTGAGAGCAAGGTAAGAGGGGACAAGCCTTGCTACATCTCCCCTCTAGGAGAGGAAGATTTTATCAAAAATGCTGCCCCAAAATGAAGCTATTCCTATCCTTCGCACTAAGGCAGCATTTCAGGCATCTCATCCTCCATCCTGAAGGAGAGCGGGATTTAGCACGGGGCGGTAGAGTCATACAAGTGAGGGTTCACCAGGCTTCTTGATCCTCCGACCTTCTGAGTGCCTGCGTTGGGACATGAATCCAACCAGCCTACCATTTACCAGTGTGTGTGTGTTTTTTCCTCTCCGGCAGTGAGGCACCAGGTAGCCTTGCACTTGTGGCCTCTCTGGAGAACTGTCCGTAGGAAAAAAAAAAATTGTTTGCAGCATTGGCAATCACGTTAGCAGAAAGTAATCAATCAACTCCGGTTGCCTTAGCAGACGAGGGAGCAGCGGATTGCTTGTGGTTCTGCTAATGATGGGAGCACTGACAGCTTCCCTCTCCTCCCCTCCCTGCATAGCCGTAGGGCTGCAAAGGGACAACAATTCACAGCGCCTGTTTGGATCCTGTCGCCTCCCACCCCACCCTAAACAGGGAAGGAAATGCAGCAATGCACTGCTGCTGACAACCTGCGTAAATAATTGAATAAGCTTGCAGTTTACTACCGTCTATGAACGGATGCCTGCCACCGAGCTGGTTTCACAAGTGCCTTTTTAAGCTGCTGTATGTGTAAATATAAATGCCCTTTGTGGCAGCTAGGACAATCTCTCTCCCCTCCATTCCCAACCTAGCTCATGTCAGCTCACTTCTCAAGCTGCAGTTGAAAATGCCTGTTTTGAGATCTGAGTTGGTTGCATGCCTGGTGTGGGTTAAAAGTTAACATCCGCTCTCATTCACACCCACACGCAATCATACATACTTATGCATGCACACACGCTCACGCATGCATGCAAACACGCACACACTCATACATGTGCATGCACATGAATACACACACTCATACTCTCACACTCACAATCCTACTTGTACACGTGCACACATGCATGTGCACACATACTGTCATATACACACACTGGTGCTCAAAGTGGAACTGTTATAAATGTTGGGAGGGGTTTTGGTTGCGGCTGTGTTGGTTTAAGGACGTAGGCAGACAAGGGTCTTTGGGTAGATGTGATATCTTTTTTATTCGACCAGCTGAGTAGTTGGAACAAAGTTCATTTTGGGCATTCAGAAGTGCCCAAAAGCTTGCAAAGAAATTTATTCCAACTATTCAGTTGAATAAAAGTTATCACATCTACCCAAAGAACCTGGCCTATAAATGTAGGGAGGACATACTCTATGCTTTTCCTACAAACCAAAGAGGCTAAATGGAGAATGGATGTTAACCACTAGGTCCATAACTGGCCACATGATGAACTTAACCCAGCTTTGCCTGTTGTGTGCTGAGGCTGCTCCACCGTGGTCTGGGTCCGAATACATCTGGAGGATGTTAGAGGAACTAATGGACAATGTTTGTAAGAGAAGCAATGTGAGCCATATCAGTCTCGTTCTCAGCTCCACCTGGATTTTCTGTGAAGAGGGCAGCACCTTCATGTAAAACATGGAAAGAAAGGGCAGGCAATCAGCTCCTTTTTCTGAAAATTAAGTCTGGGATTTCCAAAGGAACCTAAGGTCAGGTCTGAAAAAAGCTTTTGTACCAGGATGACAAAGTGAGGGGGGATTGTATTTGGGTTTCTTGCTTAACTGATCTTGTTAAGTTGGTACAACTCGTAATGTGGTCAGACTTGCATCCCTTCTCTCCGCAATAGCTCTACTGGTGTAAAGCACCTCTATACTGGGAGAACGTCCCCTGAAGTGCGGATGTGTACGCTGCTTTAACAATCATGGGATAATTCGCTGTGTTAGTCTGAAGTCAGGAAGAAGGCAGGGCAGAGTTGCACCTTAGAGAGGAACCAAATCAGAAATGCGTATGCATTGATTAGATGCTAATGAAAGTGTATGGATCTCTGATTCAGTTACTCTACAAGGTGCAACTCTGCCCTTCCTTCTATAATGGGATAGTTCAAAATGGTACAGCTCGGGTGTAGAGAAAACCCAGATGAATTAGATATTGACTTCCATTAGATTTGATAGTGAATCGGCTATCTTGCTCGTTGAAGGTATGTCTTCACTCAAGCCGCCCTCTGATGCACACACAAGACACTTTTTCCCCGTGTTAGCAGAGCTTTCAGCTTCCATGGGCTGGCCCAGTCTCTGGGTGTAGGGCAAATAAAAGCATCATTCGGGCTGATCTCCTGTTCGCTCAAATGCTGATACTCCTCCAGTGCTGGCAGGATGACGAACAGCGTTCAGGAGGCCGATGCCTTCCCACAAGTCCTCAATGCAAATGCATTGCTGGTGGGTTAAGAGTAGGCTAGTGCATCTTTTGTTAGCTTGAGTTCAAAATACTCTTCTGAAGATGGTGTGTTACCGCTGTCATCAGAGGGACTGGGCATAGCCTGAGTTTAACTGATTTTACTTGAGCGTGTAAATCCCAAGCCCGTGTGGCACGTTAACCACTTCCCTATGGGTTGTGAATACCTAATTAACCTATCAAAAAGTTCCCCTACAACCCAGACATTTAAACAGCTAAGGTTTTTTTTACAACATTTTGTTACTGAAGTGAGTATATAAGGAACATCATCATTCTTATATGTAGCAGGACTTCAGAGATGCTTGGGGACACCTCCTCTTACCTAGAAAACACCCTTGTTCTTAGTGCAGGCTCATGGGGTTAAGGTATGCCAGCTTTTGTACCCAGTGATACTCAAGCTTGTAACCTGGCTAGCACCATATCCAGTCAACTCTCTGTCCCAAATCAACAGGTACTGGTTTATAGCTTTTTTATCTTTATCAAAGCCAAATCAGTTCCAAATTCAATTGAGCAAAGCCCAATAGTCAAGTCCCAAAATTTGACTGTGCAGAACTCAGTCATCTAGTCTGTGTGGCTTTGCCCCTGGGGCAAGTATCATCCCTGCCAGACTCATCTGTCTGAGGCTTCAGATCTCCCCAAATCCACACAGGCATCCTCCTTTTTTTTTGTTGGTTTTTTTTTGTTTTGGTTTTTTTTGGAATAATTGTGTCTCTTGGGCCAAATCAGCAAAATCAGTTCCAAATTTTACCAACTGAGCAGAGCTCAATTGTTTATGTCTGTGTGGCACTACCACTGGCAAGTATCCTACCTCCCAGCCTCTTCAGTCCAGGGTTTCAAATACTGCCAAATTCATGGCAGGCATCCCACATGCAAACCCCAAGCCCAGCGGCCTTGCAGTTCAGATGCCCCTAGTCTCACTTGCCCTCAGCCAAAAGGCCAAAAGAACAAGCTAGAGGGAAAGCCTGAGAGAAATTCCCTATCACCATAAATAGGGATTATTTGGCTACATAAATTGTGTAGCCAAAATCCTCATATTTGGAGGCATTTGTAGACTCTTGCAGGGGTCAGCTTGCCTGCAGTGCAAGGGACAGGCTCAAACTACACCATATCATTCAAGGCTGAGAAGAAGGGGATCTCCCCTGTCAAGTAAGTAAAACCACCTGGGCCAAAACCACCTTGTGGGATCTCCCCTGCAAGGCCTTGGGTTTCAGATGCCACCAGTCTCACTTGGTAATAGCTGGGCCAGCTGTGCAGAGGGCACAGTTGAGCTAACCTCAAACTCCTTAGAGCTGCCGTGAGCATCTCTGCCATTGCAGCTTCTAATTAAGACTGGGTAAGGGAGGCAAAATCAGACCCGTTGAGAGTATAATGAAAAGATTAGTTTCCTGCATAGTGTGAAGCTAGCTAAGAATTTCAAAGCTTAGGAAATCATATTGCTGTATTAAGGATGTTTTATTGATTGGGACACTTGTGTAGGGTTGGCTTCTGAATGCTAATATATAAACATGCCTCACAGTAGGCAATCGACATACAGGAGCTGGAGCATTCCCAGAGGAAGGTCCAGGTAAGCACAGAATATTTTTAAATCCATCTCACTGGCAAAGAGGAGACCATCGCAGGTGTAAAGGGAACAGCTAGCCTTCCTTTCTGGTGTTACTATCTGTATTTAAATGTGTATGTGACAGAGCACCTTAGTGCCTGTCACTTCAAGGGCTGGGCCAGGGAGAGGGCAGATGCCTGATTAGGGTGTCCATTTAATGCCCAGCTCTCTGGGCTGAGGAGAGCACTTTGAGACCAGCCAGCAAGGAAGAAACATCTCCCTGTTGAGCTCCGGCTCCAGGAACACCTTGGAGGTAAAGGGGAGGCTATGGGGGAGG